GGCATAGCCTAGTCAACTAGACCAAATTCTTGCTTTGCAAAGAATGATAAATAATACATTTATTTAGTCTGGCTTGCCAGGCTATGGTTGGCACGCACCCAACTTCCTTTCTGGCTCATGTAATTTCTTTACCTTCAACAAAATTTGCATGCAGCATCTGACAAATATAGACTTCTTGTAGAAACCTTCTGGAGCTCTGCATCTGGATCTGCAACCGAACCACAGCCGGTGTGAATGCTCTGATTGAACTCAATGATTTTTGGTTTTTGTGGAAACTGTACTGAGTTTGGTTTGCACTTGGTGTAAATCAGGGGTTAGATGGGACTTTAATACAAGTCAAGACCAAATTGAACTGGCCATTTGAACTGAAAATTCCCAAAACAGAGCCCTGTTGTACTCCAGAAACAAAAATAATCATGGGTTTGAAATAATGAAACTGTCTACTCGGGTGAAAGCTAACAGATATAGACTTTTCTGTCTTTTTAACTTTTCACATAATCATCAACTCCACATGGTTTGTGCTTCCAGAGTTAAATTCACCATACTGCACACAAAGATGTTAGGGTCATGACCTGTATAAATTGACTCGGTATTAATCAACAGCAACCTGGTTGCAAAAAAATACTCAAATCAAAGATGAAACAAAATGTGATAAATTTATATTTAAAAAAAAAAACAAATGGATAAATGGGTAAAACAAATGGATTTGAACAAACTTATAGTGCACATATTCTGGTCAAGCTGCACTTTTCTCTGATACATCACTGTAAACCTGATAACGCTGAACTCTTTGATAGACCCCAAACAAGTGAGTAAAATCTTCCTGCATCCTGTACTTCCAGTGTAACAACATGAAACTGAGCGTGAGGACTGAGCAAAAAACCATGAAAATCATCTATCTGTACATAGCAGCTTTATGGGCTCAGTTCTTCCTGATCTCATACCAACCAAACGGGGATTCACTTGTCCAAAACACCAAATGTAGATGAGATCTGTGATGTCAAGACATTTCTAAATAATCTATAACAGGCAAATCAATAAAAGATATTTGGGACACCAATATAATCCCAGTTCAGTTATTTAGATAAATGAACACAGAATCCCTATGACGGAGGATAACCTGCTCAATGAAATTCTCTCCAATTTGAGTTAAATAACTCAAAAACACCTCTCCACTGATTTAGGGAGAAAAATAAAACTCGGTTATTGGGCAAAGGAATGTGACTCACATCTTTGCCATAGCAGCAGTCGAAGTAATACACTCGCATGTTGGCGCTTGTCGAGGTGAGTGCACCTCCCTCGTCTGTATTAATAACTGCATGTCCTATTGCTGTATCAGCTGGGCTGTGTTTTAATGGGCCTTGCTTGGCTTACGGGAAGGTAGAGGGTGAACTCCCCCACCTCTTCCTCCCATTAGCCCAGATACTTCACCACTTTTGCTCTGTGGAAGTACTTCCAATCTGTAAACAAACCCTACACCCCACAAAATAAAAAAGTGAATACAGAATACAGAGAATCTGCAAAACTGCAGCATCTATCAGAGGTGCAAGCAAATATTCTGAGTTAAAAAGACAAAGATAAAAATAGCTCCTTTTGGTTTACAGAGTATTAGAGAAAACACCAAAGAGTTCACAGACCTTGACTGACTTAAGCTGACTGCTTTTTTCTGTTTTTCTTTTTTTGTGATAATAAAAATGTTTACATAAGCACATCACTTCTGACAGTTGACTTACACATAGAAGGAATTGTCATTAAGATACACTCAACTGTCAAAATTTAGCTGTGAAAGAGAAAATCACTGGTGATGACAATGATGGCTTCTTTTCTCTCTAATATAAACATACCAGCATGATCACTTTTTCCCCTCAGGGCAAAGTCATTGTTCCATTCTGAAAGCTCTCTGTGGATGCTTGAAATGTTCCCTTTATATTTTTTTCCCTCCTGGTTCATTTACTTGGATGTATCCAGGTGATGTGCCAACCTGTCACATCAAACACAGATGGACTTATTTCCTCAGAACAAAGGTCAAAACAGTCGCCACGGGAGGGGTGTTTGTGAAATTAACTTTTTGCTCTAACAATGTACTTGATCAGTGCTCATTATCTTAATTTTTTAAATAAATCGAAAATAGTTGGAGAAGGCACCCAAATAGTTTACACTAAACAAAAATGAAAATGTTTGCATCAAAAATGTTTAGTTTGGTTAAAAAAAACTTCCTTTTTAATAAAAATCTTTGCTCTACATTAAGATCTATCCCACTACCACAAGGGGTCGCCAAAATGCACAAGTAAATTCAGATCTTGTTCAAAACTAGTTTTTTTTATCGCCTTTTTAATTTTTAAGCTATATCCCTATTTTTTTCACCTTACTCCAATAGCAACATTTATAAATTGATCCATTGTGATAGTCTTATGTCTTCAGATGTGTCATGTAGTTGTGGAACATCTATTTGTGGAGTACTATGTTCACCTATTTATTGAACTCATTATTCTAATCTAGAAGCACAGCAGCCATCTTTAAATTCAATTATCCCTTCAAGTTGTGAGAAGAGGGCGGAAATGTACATGCCTGCAGAGACATGACCTTACATTTCTTTCCACTAGAGATGGAGCATGAAACTCATGTCCTCAGTTAGAAGCACCAAACTTCTTAGGAGACTAAATGTTAGCATTGCTTATCAGAGATATAAAAGTGAGACGACAAAATAAGACTCCAAAAATGAGCCGGCGTCGCCGCCCTTGCCACCTCTGCTTTTGAAGCCGTGAAAGGAGCAGGATTTGTGAGCGGAGTGATGTCTGACAGCGGTGTTAACATTCCCTCAGGGCAGTTTAAAGAACAGTGCAGAATGAGGTTGCATAATCTGTGCCTGAGATTCATGGAAAACAGGCTGGTTGGAGAATGATATGCTGACAGTTCTGAGATGTCTGGAGAGACGCTTGTAGACTAACAGTTTTGGCAGGAAGAAATGGTGGTTGTATCCAATGGAAATTTGTAATTTCATTGATACTAGTTGCTACAAGCCGGCTGTGCATGAGAGTGATGCTGTGCTGAAGACATCTGTAAGAACAGCTATGAAGTTCTCCAGCAGCCTATGCCCATTAAAGCATAACTAAAGGGATGAGCCAGGAGAACTCAAGCCAACCTCATCTGTACGAGTTATCAAAAGGGAAAGTCTGAAGCCCACTCCTACAGAACAGTGAGCATTCCTTACAGATGGAAGCTGGTTCTACAAGAGAAGCCTGAAAACTCAGTTGTACCTCTTACAGAAACTACCACGAGTAAACCCACAGCTTGGGAGTCAAGTGCTCAGAAGGGTCTGCTTTATCCACACCCAAAGTTGCTTTTAGAGATTGAACATACCCAGGTTTTTAGATAAATTAACGCAATAGGCTGCATGATGATGCAGTTGTTGGCATAGTTGTCTCACAGTAAGGTCTTGGGTTCAACACCCAGCTGGGACTTTTCTGCACAGTTTGCATGTTTTCACCAAGGACATGAGTGTTTTCTCTGGTTTCTCCAGTTTCCTCCCACAGACAAATTGTGTTAGCGCAACTGGCTAGTTGTAGGTGTGTGTGCGTGAGTGAGTCCTGTTTGCCGCTATGAGAGCCTGTGATGGACTGGCAACTGGTCCCAAGTTAAAACAACAAATGCTGGCTTTAATTTTGTTTTTTAAACTGAACATTCTCTTTTTTTGGCAACATAAATCAACAAACGTTTCAGATTGTACTGAACACAGATAACACCTTTTTCTTAAGATTAGCCTTCTGAAATGCACTTAGGATCCCTATTTGGTGTTTGAATTTTTGCTATACAAGCATTTCTCATCTATTACACAAATACTAGCAAGGCTTTTAACCTGGATGCACAAATAAATAAAAAAATAAAAATAAAAACAATCATATACAATGATGGATCAACTTTACATTATTCAGTCTTGAGTCTTGTTTTGGCAAAGCTGAAATATCCTCTCTAAAAGGCACTGAAACTCTCCCAGGATGTAGTCATGTCCTCAGACACACTCACCTGACCTGAAAGCAGATTGTCACATGACTGTCTCATGTCATGTGACACCTGGATTAAAGAAACAGGCAAAATTTCCCTAATGGCCCAATGATGTGTTTGGCTGGTACGTTGTGCACTGATACCTGCACTCTCAGCTTCAACACACCTGCTTTGTGTCTACACATCCATGAAGACATTAAGATTTTAACAAATGAAACTAAAGAACATGCTACTCTTTCATATAACAAGTATTTGATGTAATTGTTTTTAAGAACTAGATATAAAAACTAACGATCAGTGCTATTTTCTCAACATCAGAAAACCTAGAAGCTCTACTATTCTTTATTAATGTGTATGTGCTTTAAGAGTTTGGTGTGTCAGCACCTCCAGGCTAGTTCAGTCAAACCCCAGACTGGAATTTGAGTAAGCCATAACGTGGGGATTTCACGTGCCTCTCGGTTGTCGTACTTGGAATATAAAAGTGTGTGTCATGCCATGGATGCATCCGCTTACCTCCTTGTGGCTATGGGGCAAAAACCATCTTCAGCTGACAGTGAAGTCATGTTTGACTCACATTTCAGGTGAAGGCCGGATCAATTTTATTGTCATTATAGGATCTGGATTTGAAGTGAACATGTAGACTTCAGTGACCCCCAGTGGTAGCAACAAAGATGAATCAGATTATTAAAGACCCAACAAATAATTAGATAATTAACTAGAATAATAATTAGGTGCAAATGTTTTTTATTATTTTGTACATTATTGCCTACCTTTGCCTTAGTCCTACCGGCTGCAAAACAGCCCCATATGATGATGCACCCACTACCATGCTTAACTGATAATTCAGTGATGTGAAACAGGAACTCCTTAACTTTGATCCCAGCATCTTCATGTTTTGGACAAAAACGTGTGATCATAAAGGGAACCGTTTTGAATCTATTATTGTTTTGATGATGAAAAACCAAGCAAAATCAGCAGTTCCATTTAAACGAAAGGAGTTTTAGTCAAAACACTTTAATAGCAAAATGAAACATAATTTTCCAACAGAGAACTAAAGGTACATGGAAGCACAGAGTAAGCAAACATTTAAAAAGTAAAAGTTCTGCTGCCAACTTTCAAACTAAAAATAAAATGATTTTTCACAGAAAACCTACCAGCTACTGGGAAAACATTTGGGGGTAAATGATCAAGAAAGTACTACTTGGACATTTTAAGGTCAAGCAAAAAGGTTTCAAACTACCATACCAACACATGACCCTTTAAAGGGTTAGGGTCAGACAGGAAGTCAAATTTCTGAACTTTTATTGTTCTGATGTCAATTCAAAGGCCAGTATATTTAATTCAATATGATATGTGCTTAGGTTTGATTCTAATGTGTATGTATCTCACAAGAATACATTTATATTCCGTAAATCCTCTAATACAGGCCAGGGCCTGTATTTGACTCAAGCTCATCAAGCTCCAGGCCTTTATTGGAAGGAGGACCAGAATTAGAGGCAGGCCTCAATTTCTATTTGAGCAAAATGAACTAATGGTTTGCAGGAGTTTTTGACAATTAAAATTGCGCTCACATTTTCAAAGTTAAACACATTTCTTTTAACAACGGTAGTTTCTGCTTCAGCCCTCTCCCCCCTCCCCCTGTGCAGCGGCCGCAAACTCACTGATGCGCCTGCAGCCCCTCGGAGTTCCTGCTGCTCTAAACATTAAAATAATTATTTCATTTTCTGTTCCTCACTTCTGATGACCTTCAATGGTGTCTGTTTGTTGCAACAGCAGGTACAAAAACTAACTTGTTTTTATTTGACTATTTTCCTGTCCTGCCTGTTTATCAGGGGCGGATTTAGGACTGAAGAAGATCCGTGGCTTAACACACAGACACGCGCGCACACACACACGAGACATGCACTAGTCAAAATCATATATAGTTGTCTTGCACCACATAATTTTTAATCTGAAGCTACATATTAAGCATATTCAGGGCAGAGTATTGTTCCTGTTAGTGTTTAGTGTGAGATGATAGTAAATATTCCCTTTCTTTCTCCATCAACTTTACCTGATAGTAAGCTAACTTTAGGCAAACCAGCAGCACAACAAATATTTTCAAATAAGACTCACAAACCTGAGTCAACACTAGTATCATCAAAGCTGGGGTTCTGTCGTTGTACTTTTTGTCTAAAAAACGTCCTTATGTCCATCTTCACTCATGCGTTTCAGGCAGAGTGTAGACGAAGCTGGCTGCTGAAGGGCTTCTTCCTCAGTGGTGGAGGCTCAGGCAGGCTGTATACAAACTACTGCCAGCTGCTTCCTCTCTGTTGGACTTTGGTACTGCATGTTACTGCCACATTTGAGATCCGGGGCTTTTCATAAAACATCTGGGGCTTCAGCCCAAGTAGCCGGGCCTAACGCCGCCCCTGCCTGTTTATTATCTTCCTGCATCTCCTCTCAATCCTAAAGAAAAACTGCTACCTGGCTTCATATATATTCACCTTATGAGTTACCTTTGAACTGCAGTTCTAAAAGATCTACCGACCGCAAAAACAGCGGGGTGCTCGCCAGCCACATCAGTTAGGTGCTTCACCGAGGACAAAAAGGTGATGCGCCCCGATCCACAGCAGCGAAAAGCATCAGGCACAAATAAAAGAATAAAAGACAGAAAAAATAAAAGGAAATGAGCCGACATGAACGATCGCGTGTTAAATTAGTTTTTGAGGTGGCGACACCTGATTTGATAATGTTACTGTGGCCGTGCTCAGGACGCAGATGTCTGAAGCGTGTCAAAAATCAGAGCTTTGCATGCGGGAAGGTTAAATTGCAAGAGGGTAAAGGTCACAATTTGGTTAAATGTCCGTTTTACGGCGGGTGTCAGTACCGACGCTCTGGCACAGCGCGTTGCCTCCCGACGCGCAGGAGCTTGTCACCTGCTGACAGCAGGCTGCTGTCTTTTCCGTGGACTGCATCTTGCCGGTCATTATCACCTGACAGCGACTAGTCGATGACAGGCATAAAAAGTCACTATAGAGCGGTGAAGTCGACTAGTGACTAGTTCATACAACCCCTACTGCTCCCCAGAGTGTTCTGCAGCATAATCAGCACGTTCTCTTTGAACTTGACATCAAATGTTTGCCTCCTCTTCGTCTCCGCAAGGTTACAGTTACCCTCGCGGTCTATAACTGGCAAATCAAAAGTGAGACGGATGACACAACCGCCCCCCGTACTTGCTTGTTACCACATTCCACCCGGCCACAATAAAAAACCGGCCAATATTCACCTCCGCCGACTCCGGCCAAAATATGATACCTGGCAGTTAATTTAAATACAGGCCAATATTAGAGGATTTACGGTATGTTCAAATGTTGGTGTCTTTTAAACACATATTGCTGAAGTTCCTCATCTAGACTTACTTTGTTTTTGTAAAGGCTGTTTAGTACAGGGCTTGTTTTCTACTCATCGTTGTCACTATGATGAAAAGCTGAAACTTTAACTCACGTTCAGTTTCATTTTTGAGGGATAGTACTCATACTTTACACCTGATTGTCCCTACTGTGGGATGATAAAGGCTATTTATGTTGTATACTGTTTAGTTTTTCGTTTCTTTAAATGACACTACACTCTCCAGATGTATGTAGTATAAGGGATCTACCAGGGTTAGCTTTAACGGAACTGAATGAACAACATTTTTGAATGATTAGATCAATTACAATACTTTTGTATGACTGGAAAAATGCTGATGTGTTGTGAAAAATTGACATGTACTATAATGAACATGTTTAAAAACAGGAACTGACAAAAGCAAAAGACACTTACTGGCTGAAAATATAAAATTATGCCATCAGCAGTCTTGAAAGTTCTTGAATATTTAGGTCAAAATTTACAGGAGTCACAACTCTGATTCATTTCTGGTTGCAGATCAGACTTTTAAAGGCACAATCTGCAATTTCTCCTACTGAATTATTTACTCTAATACATCCTTATTGTAGACGTGAACACGTAAAGCACTCACAAGCAGCAGTAGATGACAGTCAAAGCAACTATTAGATTGGTAGCATCAGCCTGACATTCTAGTCAGCAAAAGAAACATTTGGTGAAACCTGAAACCATCTGCTGACAATCTAAATACAGTTGTTTTGATTTTATGGGTAGTTTTATGCTTTATGTTAAATTAAAGCAAGATTAATATATGTGTGTATCTTAGAATGTTTTTACTAAAAATCCAAATCCTTTAGCATTTGAGGATTTCCTGACACCCCCTCACCGAAATGATAGCTGCTCCGCTACTCTACCTATCAGGTTTTCACCTTTAAATTTTAGCTTTAGATTTTATCAAATCTTTAACATTTTTTTGTTCATTGCATTTAGATTAATCATGTTGGAATTTTTATTGTGTGTGGACGGCATAAATGTTAGAAATGCATTCCTAAATTGGGCTACACAAACCTCTGTAGAGTCAAGCAGCACGTTGAACACCTACAAGAAGTGGAAGACAGCACCAACTACATTTTAACAGAATTTGCAGCCTTAAAATCTCAACTTGGGAGTGCACCAGTTCTATGAATGATTTGGATCTGCATCAAGGTACAAAAAAGTAACCTAAGCCAATGGATTAAATTCTTTACATAATTCCAGTAATTGTTTCTTCTGATCATAGCCCTTAGCTGTACTGACAGGATGAGATCCAGTGGAGAAACATTGTTGACTGTGCCTTTAAATGTCTTGCAGGAGAACAGAAATCCTTCTGGATGAATGTGTTACTTCTTCTCCGTCTTCAGTGTTTGCAAAAAACTCCAGAGATCTTTGACCACCTGAGGAAGGTGAGAAACAGAGAAAGAAAGAGAGTAAAGATATAAATCATCCAAATGAAGTGCTAAACAGCACGAGGCACATGACTCAGTTTTACTACAACATGATTCCTGTGCCGGTCGCCTGTGGGAACGCCGAGTTTGGATGGGGCTGCTGGGGAACGACGAGGAGTTGGGTGGGGGCAGCAGCACATACCAGAGCATATGACTAGGTGCTTCAGGTCTGACAGATCTCAGCCTTGGCTGATGAAACCAAAGCACTTCCACAGATGTTTCTACACACTGGGATCAACAAACTCTCCCAGACCCAAACCCAGCTCCACCCCCACGCTTCGCATTGTCCACCCGGCCCTCGTGTCACTCTAAAGAGCTTTCACCTGCTCTTTCTACGGTTCTAACTCTTACAGTGTAAATGGGCTGACTCGAGTAAACAGTGACCTATCTAAGCAAGGAGGTGCCAGACATTACAAGGCTTTAATTCCAAAATGGTCATGGAAATTTTACTTGCATGTGCTTCAACTCTATAGATACCAGAGGTTTGTGTGAGAATGACATACATCAAACCTTGTTTAAGCATATAGCGAACCATTGCTTGTGTTTCTTATTGAAAATTGAAATAAAAATGACAAATAAAATGACAGATACATTTTCAAACTGCATGTCCCACAGAAGGATGCAGTCTTTCTTAAGGAAGCCAAATAGCAAGCAAAGGATCTATTATTAAACAGATTGTCTGGTGTATTTATACCAACTCAGTTAAAAATGCAAATTAGGGCTGAAGCTGCGTGTTTAAGTCCAGAGTGTCATTACAAAAAATCCCTTTCCGCTGCTGCAGGAAGCCAGCGAATCTGCCTCTACATCTCACACCCATGATGGGTGTTGAGTGAGGGACAGAAAAAACAGCCACAGCTATAAAAAATATCCGCTGTTGCAGCGCCATGAAAAGAAAAGAAAATCGATCAAATGCACAGACTAACATTCTAAAATAAAAACTCCAGTAAGTCATTTAGTGTAGGTTTGTCTAAGCAGGCATTCTACATTTCATCGAAACAAGACAAAATGAATAGAGCAATTAAAAAATAAATAACAGAAAAATGCTGTTTGTGTTGGAGAAATGCAAAAGGCTTATTGGACAGTGGAAGGTATGAGGATAGTGATGGTCTACTGACTTTTTAAAACAGCAGCTGGAGACAGTTTGATTTAGACAAGCTTTTGGTTGACTGGCTCCAATAAATATGGTCTGTTACCTTTTGCTTGAAGTTGTTTATTGTTTCCGTTCACTCTTTGTGAAGCACTTGTGATTTTATCCATGAAAGGTGCCATAGGAATAAAGTCCTTCTTCTAGTCTAGTAACCCATTATTAATGAACAAAGGCTTCTTCTTAAACAGGCAAGTGTCTTGTTGAAAAAGGAACACACCACATCATCGCTCCAACAGATGACAGGCACCAAGACACTTGCCCGTGTCGTTGTTTGTTGGTTTAACCAAAGCATAATGAATTTCATTAATACATAACCCATTAGTGGCAGTCTATGAAGGTTGGACTGTATGTAAACATTTGTAAGCAATATTTGTCATTCCCCCCAAAAAAATGCATTAAATTTGTGCAGTTGACTTTTAGAGGGGGCTGAGAGGGACGGACACATGCACGCACGCACACAAATGTATCCTTGTGTGGACCCTTCATTGACTTCCACTCATTTTAGTGGCTCCACTATGCCTAACCCTTACCCTAACTAATGCTGTTCTATCCTAGCTCTAACCTAAACTACAAGTTAATTCACACCATACCTCTACAACCAAGCATTACCTTTACTTCACATTGGAGACATCAATGACAGCGGAACGTTGCTGCTTCAAATATAACCCGTTATAGTCTATGGGGTGATTCAAACCAGCCACGTTGTGAATAAATTCAAGAGCGATCCAGAAGCAGGGCGCCACGCCGCTAAAGAAAGGATCAGGCTCCATTTTTGCCATAAGTCGTGTAAGGTTATGAAGTTCATTATTTTCAGCTCCACACAGCTGCCCCTGTGCACAGTAACACCCGTGTTGAAAACGCCATGGTCGGGTGTTCCTCAGACTGTTTACATTCCAGGAGAAGAGTCCGGAGGAGAAGAAGAACGCTTTTACTTAATCAAAGTACTTAATTTGTGATTAAAGCTATTCGAAACAGATGCTGATCAATAATAATCAAGTGAATGATCTGTGGAATAAAGATGTCATGATTTGTGTTTAATGAAAACAGGACTATTGCACAGACAGACTGACCCTCATCTCCATAGAAACGCATGACACATTGTTCCAACCAATCAGAGCTTTCGGCTGCCGCAGGAGAATCTGACTTGTTGACTTAAAGTATCCAATCCGCTTTACTAAAACTTATCAACAATTCAGAGATATAAAACAAGGCAACGCCATTTTAAGCTCAGTTCCATTTTGACTTCAGTTCTAGTCACCGTCATCCTAAAGAAAAGCACAGCCTGGCCAGATGTGTTTTCTTCTTTAAACTAAGAACTGTGAAGTTGGAGATTTTCATCGTTTAACAACCAGACAACATCCTTTCAAAATAAGAGCACCTGCTGACGCTGCCGATTGGTACCGGGGTCGACCCTTCAGACGGGCTTTGACGTGCTGCGACCGCTGCTCCGACAGCTCCAGTACACATCTGAGGTTCTTGGACCTGGCATTTCCTGATCTACCTGGGAGGCCCCCGCTGGGTACGTACACGGCAAAATAGCAGCTCATGTCATCACTTTATAAGCCTCGTGATATCTAGTCATAACAAAGACGACCAGATTCAATGACGTCAGCCTAAGGAGTCTGAACCAACCACACACACACACACACACACACACACACACACGCACCAACACAACATCCAAATCCATTTTCATCCATCACAGAGTTAGTCCTGGTAGATTGTGAAGAATTTATAATTAAGAAATTGAAGATTCTCAAACGATCCCAACTCTCTCTCTTTTCTTGTCTCAAAGTCAATACAGAGTGTTTAATTAAACTCCCTGATGATAAAAACAGCCTATCTTCTGATTATAACAAGTGATCTACTTACAGTGTATTAAAATACAACTCTAGACAGTTACATCACTTCAATTCCGTTACAGTCGCTTCTGGGACACGTCACTTTCCACAGTTAACACAGGGCTAGACGGGAAATTACACACAATTTCAGTGCAAAACCTCCGGTAATTTAGAAAGTAAGGCTACTGCGGCGATGCGATTTTGCATCTATGTAGATTACGTCAATACATGTGACCTAACAGCTTATTTATTCCCAGTATAGCTCCAGAGTTGCAACAGGTGTTTTTCATGGCTTTAATCCTAAACCGTAAACTTCAAAGTCTTGATGAATTTTCTGATCTTGCAGTCTAGCGAGGAGCACGACGGAGAAGCCGCTCCGTGGCGGAGATTCTCCCGTTGATTACTGGGATGCAGTGAAGCTCGCGAGTTAACCGTTCTACTGCTATTCCACACTGCTGATGCCTCCCATGTGAAGTAGGGGTTAGGGTGTTTGGCACTGCATGGACCAGCCAAATGTCCCCACAATGTGAAAATGTCCATGTCAGTAAAAACGTGTATGTGTGTGTGTGTGTGTGTGTGTACTCAGTTTGCAGAAGCCACGAGGGGTCCACGTCACAATGGCTTTCTGAAACACATCGGCTATTTGATGCGTCAATTAACAATATACTTTGAATAAATCAGTTCGACCTAGAATAGGGGGCAGTCCTTCTAACCTACCAGCCAATAGCTGACATTTTTGCCCCAGCAGAAAGGGTAACGCTTTGGATGTCAATCAACAGTTTGAAGTTACAACAATGCTAAAAGAGGTTATGATGAGAAAGACACATCTAAAAGAAAGCTTTTATGTTTTCAGCAGCGTTTGTTAGATTGAGGACATAAGACTTGTTGTGGGCCGTTTTATTGCAGGACAATACTAAGACCACTTGTGGATGTAAAGAGACTTTTTTTTGTTGAAGGTGTCTGTTCTGTCAATGATGTGAGGCTTTGAATGGTTCGTTGGACATTATACGGGATTTCCAAGTATGACAAAAGCATTTCCTGTGTCTGGAGTTACGGTTGTGTAATATGTACAGAGAGAATTGTGAAAAAGATGCCAATATGAAGTGGAAGGAATTTTTATCCTCTAATACAAGGGCATTAAAATAAATTCTCATAAAAATGACTGGTAAAGGGCTCAGCCTAGGGCCACTGGTCAATAAGTTATTGTCCAATCTCTTTTGTGCGTTCGTACTGTGTTTTTATCCGTAATCAGTGTCATCAGCAAGGATGACACACAGTAGAGAGCAACACGTTCCTCTGCTGCCCGCCTATAAAAGGAAGTCACACCACCATCACCGGCGATCTCTGATGACGGCTAGAGCTACTAGCTGAAACATGTAAGGTAAACAAATAACTTTTACTAAACTGTGTAAGAAAAGAGCAAAATAATGTTGTCCAATCACCCAACCCGAAGAGGTTTTAAAGCAAGTTATTTGCATAAACCTATTCATCACAAACAACTGTAAGCAAATATTTCTAAGTAATTGAAAGAATTGGTTTATTAACCTTATAATAAATACGCAGAATCAATACAAACTTTTTTAACACCAGATATCAAAAAAACTAAACCATTTTTTAAAAGCAATGATCAACTTTACATTCAGGGAAATAAACAAGTTACCTACTTTTTTGTCTGTGACTTTATAAGAGGTTCTCACAAAATTTTCAAATTTCTGCTCCGTCTTCGGTAGTGATTTCCCCTGAGGAAAAAAAAACACATTTAAATCAATATATCAGAGAAAATTTCAATAAGAAGAAATACTTTGTAATGACATGAATAGACCGACCTCCTTGGCTGCTGTTGAGAGCTTGTTTTTGATCTCAGCGAGTGATGGTGATTTGGACGGGCCAGCCTGGGGCTTGTCTTTTCCTTGGGCTTGTGTCTGTAAATAAATAAAAAGAAACATCTAGAAAAATAAACAGACTTATTTGCCAGATCGGGGTGATCAACAGACTAAATGACTTGATGTCACACTGTTTCCTCTTTTACTTGAGGTCAGTTCTCAGAAATAATGTTATTTTTCCGTGTTCCCGTTTGAACCCAAAACAAAACAAAATTCTAACAAAGACTTGTTTTGCTGACCAATGGGCCGTCAGGGATGTAGTCCTGTCATGACCCATTTAGAATGGGTTCGCGTTTACAGCCTTGGTGTGGGCAAGCAGCTGGAAGAGGATAAAGGCATTCAAAAGGACAACACATTCTAGTCTCATTACATCATCTTTTGTTTTTCAAAGACATCAGGTACAAATTATGTTTTTCTTGCTTGCAAGTAGTGATACAATAGAAACTGTTAACTAGGTTCTTTTATTGATGAGAAATTTGAGTTCATTTGTGCTTTGTTATATAAAGTGCATGACTTCCACAAACCAATAATTTTGTATTAATGTTCTCAATTATAACTCTAAAACAATTGAGCTTTGGGAATTACAGAAACACTAGAAATGCTTCTTCGTATCTCCACCCCTCTCCTGTTTTTGCGCGGAGAGCAGCATAAGCTCTCATCTGATGGTTTGTGGGTGTGTGAAAACCTGGAGAGTGGAAAACCCAGAGGTCTTCTATTTATTTAGAAGTGTCTCATTGTGACAAAACATATACACATACGTCATATGTGCAACTGCATGTTCAACAAGCTAAGGATCTTGTCCCTACATGCAGCTTGAGTGTGGAATCCTGAGAAATTGCAGGGTTTTGATGATGACAATTGACCCATTTGAAAAGCATCAGACAAAATGTACAGCACAAACAAAACAAAAAACTAGTATCCTACATACAGCGTTTCTGTTTGGCTGATGACTGTACCGTATACTTTAGAACATCACAAGACGTGTCACTCCTTTTCATCAGCTTGGTGAGGAAAAGAAAGAAGAAACAAAAAAACAACTTTGTGGTAAGGGTCTTTCATTCCATTCTGGAAAAGTTGTTTACTGCTAATCAACAACACCTGATTTTAACTTTCACACTGAGTGATATTTAACCACAACAGGTAGGCAATTCAGTAGGCTTTTCAGAAGTCAAATGTAACACTACAATATCTACAAATTTTCCTACTTTTTACTTGTTTCTATTGTAACTTCTCAATTTCAATGGCAAGACAGTCTCACAATGGGCTGCAAATGTTGGCGACTCAAAAAAAAACAGAAATCATGTAACTGTTTTATTGTAAAAACACTGAATTGGTAGTTTTAGCCTAGATATCTAGACAAACCATATAGCTAAAGGGTTTTCTCTGCAGGTTGATCTAGCCAAGTTCCACTGTAGCCTGAGGTCTACCATTGGCCCCCAAAAATGTGGGTCTTGTCAATCACGATGCCGTACATTTGTTAGGCAGGAATAATGCTAGAGCGGCAATGGAGAAAATCTACTAAGTTAGCATCAGGTCAGAACAACGCTCGTTTGAAGAGGCTTTGGCATCGATTTTGGATCACTTAGACTTGGGTTTTCCTTTGAGACATGACCTAATAGAGGTCCTTAAGTCATTTATTTTGAAAAGAGATGCATTCTTCTTGGTAAAATAAAATAACTCGCTGAAAAGTCCGCTCAGCAAGGCAAGGTTGGAACTGTGTAAAATGGCAGATTTGACGTCAAGCAGCTGATTCTGAGCCCTGAAGATTTCTAATGGTAAATACTGTTGTAAAATAAACATATTAGTAGAAAGTAGTCCTTATCCTGTTTGATTTGTCTTTGAACATTGTTCTGGAACATGAACCAACATCCCAGCAGCTGGAAAATTAGTCCTGTTGTTGCAACACCACCTCTGAGTTTGCCAGATTGTCCGTTTACTATAGTCAACCTTTAAGACTACAAAATTTAAAGTACTAGGCAGTCAACCACAGGTGAGTCTAATGATTCATTTAAGAGGTGTCCAGCAGACAGGTGACTATAAAGGGTGTTACTTAACTAAGAAAAGCCCTTCCCATTTCATGCTGTCAGCAATGGCTCCACATGGAAGAGAAATGTCACAAAATCTGAGAAAGGAACAAATTTCTTTACACAGAAAACGTGAAAGCTACAAGATCAGCAAAGCTTTACATATCAGTCAGAATACTGTAGCAAAAGTGATCGATAAATGTTAGAAAGACGGAAGTGCAACCATCTTACAGAGACGTCCATGTCCTCCACAGAAGTTATCTCTGCAGGAGTGTCTTCTGCTGAGAAGGTTTGAAGAAAACCACCATGCAAGTTCACTGCAGTTAGCTAAAGCAGTAGAAAGCCAAACCGGAGTGACCGTTTCCCATGACATCATATGGCGCACACTGCAGAGCAATGGCATGCATGGGTACCGTCCATGAAGGAAGCCTCTCTTAAAGCCCATGCACAAAAAAAGCACTTCTAGGATTTGCTAGGGCCCATGCTGAAAGAGATGAAGACCACTGGGACTCTAGACTCTGGAGTGATGAGACAAAGATCACCGTTTTTGGAACTAATGGTTTCAAAACTATATGCCGTCGTAAAGGTGAAGATTTCCAAGAGAAATGTATGGTGCCTACAGTAAAGCATGGTGGTGGCAGTGTCCTTATGTGGGGCTGCATGAGTGCTGCTGGCGTTGGGGAGCTGCATTTCATTGATGATATCATGAACTCAACAATGTCCTGCTCTGTACTGAAGGCGAAGATGCTGCCATCACTCCGTGTACTTGGTCATCGTGCACTTTTCCAACACAGCAATGATCTAGAGCTACTTTTGCATTTCTGAAGAACGGGGTGAAGGTGACTGAATGACCAAGTATGTCTCCTGATCTGAACCCACTAGAACACCTGTGAGGAATTCTGAAGCAGCAAGTAGAGCATCACTCTCCATCCAGCATCCAGGCTCTAAAAGAGGTTATTCTTGAAGAATGGGAAAAGACAGATGTTGCAATATGTCGCCAACTTGTTCATTCCATGTCTAGAAGACTTGGTGCTGTCCTTCAAAATCACAGTGGTCATACAAAATACGAGATGTAGTCGTTTTTCTTGCGGGTTGTATTTAATTTCAATTCCAATTTTAGTAAAACTGAAGATTTTGTGATCCTTCATGTTATGGAGTTAAACAAGTGTTCAATAAAACCCAGCATTGAGAAAATTCTGGAAATTGTTCTTTTGTTCATTGAGCTACCGTTTCAATTTGTATTTTTTAAAGGGGGTGTACTCATTTATGCTGAGCACTGTATAACAAAAGTTATATCTCAGAAAACACATTTAAAAGTGACCGTTTTTAAAAGTCCAGCAACACAATTGCAAGGTCCCACGATGTATACCAAGAATTTAAGGGGGCTACATCATGAATGAGTATTTTTATTTTTGAACATACATCCGTAATCAAGCCTATTTTCACATTATTCATACAAATATATTTAAAAAAGACCAATTTGCCAACATCTCTACATACCATCTAAAAAAAAACATACTATTTTTCATCTTCCAGTGCAACGTTAGGCACAATACCTGATAAAAATATTATCGTCTGCACTATTGAGATGTCATTTTTTTATTAAAAGTGTTATTTTCCTTACTCATTACTTACATTACAAGTCGGAAATAAGATTCTTGGATTAGAACCCCACCTCTCTCTGTGTGAATTCAACACAAAGCTGCACACCTGAAGACTGGACTTACTGCAGATTTACCATCATGTCCCAACCATTTCAGCAGATTAAACTCTTCTTCAGGAGGAGTGGACAGAGATCCTTTTCCTCTTGCAGCCAAAAATCAATGACGATGCAGCACCAACCCATCCAGCTGACTACAGTAGCTTAGCAAAAATTTGCAGAGCTGAAGGGAACAAGCAGCTGAGACAGGAAAATGCATGTGTGAAGCCAAACGCCATGTTTGGGGTGTTTTCATGAGGAAAAAAATCATAAATTGTCAAACACTCCAAAAAGTTGATTTTGCATAAAATAGAACTTTTTAAGCACTGAGAATATTTAGATAATTTGGAAACTCTTTCATATACATTTACATTTTCTCAGTACGATATTGGCTGAAGTACAAAGCATGCACACTGTCATTTTGAAATGATAAAGTGGATTTCTTTTCTTGTATTCTTGTTATTCTGAGGAAATGACTTGATTCAATGACTACAAGTTTCTAACTTTTCAAGTATTTTTATATACACATAAAAATACATAAGTTATTCATCTAGTTACATCAAAAAAGACAAAAAAATACAAATAAAACTTCAGGCTCCGCTTATAATAAAACACAGGTGGAATAATTCTATGAAAATAAATTTTCTCGTTAAAGTATAATAGTGTGTCCCTGAGAGTTCTGCATTTAACAACAGAGATCAAAATGTATAAAATGAAATAAACTATGACACAAACACACCACGGTTCACAAAAAAAGGCACACACGTATGCTGCTGGCTCTAGGCCAAACACAGGCACCACATATTTATTATTTACGGGCAGTTCTCTACTTCCAAAGGACAGCTGTGGACCTGAAACAGCTGATAAACACACAAAGCCAGCAAGCTTTTTCATCTGGACCAGACGCTGATTACAGATGGCATGAGACATGGAACTTAATCACAAGCACGCTATCATTTGATGCAATTTCTTGTCTTCAATCCAATGCAAACACATAGTTTGGACACATTTGCTCATCAAGTCTGTCCAGGAACAGTCATTGTCATTTTTCAGGAATGTGAACATTTGAGGCTTATGTTTGGGAAAACTTTCAGGACACTGGAATCCGTCACTATACTACTAATTCTATATACTTGCAATCATACATAAATGACTCCTTTGACCTGGTTTGTGAATCAAATATGCATGACTTCAATCTGTTTTGGAACCGAAAAACACATGCTTCTAAATTTAGTTAAAACATTTACCCCTTAACACTTTACGCCTGAATTCCTTATCAATTATACACATTTTATTCACTTGTGGATTTTCTTTCA